TATATATGTCACACTTATGTTATTTGGAGGCTTGTTGGTTTTTAAAGACCAAAAAAATCTTGTAACTTGAATTTGTAACCTACTTTATTGTATTAGGGTATTTTAATGACTCAGATCTTGTAATATGCTGAATTTACACTTTGTCTTGTAAATATGTAGAAAAGGAGAAAACTAGTTTCCCTTTCTTTATACCCGATAGTTTAAAATTTATGTATAATACAAACTTGCAGTGATTTTGAATGAGTGTATAAATTTGTTAGAAAGTTGTTTTATTCTCTTTATTGCTCAAAAAGGGTTATATCACCATGTGTTAATATTTTGACATTGTATTTTATGTTAAATAAAATTATGGTGTATGTTAAAAAAAAATATGTATTGCACTTTGAACCTTTTCGCATGGGCCTATTTCCGCTACTAAATTACTTTAGATATTTTTGTTAATATCTCTTTTAATATTTTGTTAGTAGGGAATTAGATTTGTTTCTTAAGTAGTAGCCTCCCAAAGGGGTTGCTACAATACGTGAACGCGATGTTTTGTGCACTGTATTACCCTTTTAATTACGGTAATGTAACTGTGTAACTGGTCAACTGGTCAACACTTTAGCGGCACCAAAAGAGGACTAAAGGTAGCAGATTGAGGACAGCATAGCTTTTTTAGAGGCCAATCTTTAAATTTTGTTCTCCATAAATCATTGGACTTTTAGCCTTTAAAAGTAATTAGAATAAACTAACACATTAGATTAATAGCTCGTTTGGCCAAGCCGCAAAAATCAACCTATTTTGAGAAGTATTTTTTTTCAAAAGTGTTTTTCTCAAAAATACTTATGGTGAGAAGCAGTTTGTGTTTGGCTAATTAGTTTGAAAAGCGCTTCTGAGCAGCAACTAGTATTTGGCCAAGCTTTAAAAAACTGCTTCTAAGTGTATTTTTCTCAAAAATGCTTCTCAAAAAGTGCTTTTGGAGAGAAGCTACTTTTTTCTGTTTCTCCAAAACTGCTTCTGCTTCTTCTCAAAAGCACTTTTTTCCTTCCAAAAGCTTGACCAAACACCTCAATTTTTAGTCAAAAATACTTTTGGCAAAAAAAAGCACTTTTCACCGAAAAGAAGCTTTGGCCAAACATGCTATAAAGAGAGACAAAATTTAAAAATTACTACAAAAAGGTCGTATGTGCAAATCCCTATCAATATGTGAATCCACATAATACAATTGATGTAAAAGCTTATTCCCATCCGGTATTAATACATCTAACTATAGTTTATTGATGTAAATTTATACCTTTTTTTTACTTAACCACGATACGTACATTAGTTTGATGATTTCTGCCGAATTGCCTAATGAAACCATGAAAGGCAGCCTTTATTAGTAAACGTTTGGTTAGTAGTAATACAATAAAAAGTGTCACGACCCGGATTTTTTTCCCTCGGAAATCGTGATGGTGCATAATCGTGGAAGCTTGGCAAGCCAATTATTAGGGGTCTACACAGTAACAATCAATCCCAAACAGTTATAAACAAAAAACTTAAAATTAAACAGCTGATAAATGCGGAAGAGTTATAGCATGATCAAATAATCCAATACAAGTCTACCTACGGATCCGGTGTCACAACTTCATGACATCTACGAGTTACTACAAATACTGGTCTGAAAAGAAAGTACAACTGTTCTCGGGAAAGAAAAGAGACAGTAGAAAAGCTAAATAGGGAAGGGGGACTTTAGGCTCTGCGAACGCCAGCAAATCTACCTTGGTCTCCCTGGACTGAAGGCAGCTACCGCAGATACTTACCGGGTCCGATACCGAAATTTGCACAAAAGAGTATAGAGTGTAGTATCAGTACAACCGACCCCATGTACTGAGTAAGTGTCGAGCCTAACCTCGGCGAAGTAGTGACGAGGCTAGGACACGACAATCACATATACCTATGCAGATAGATCATATACAGACATAAATATAATAACAGGAATCAACAGAATAAGGTGGGAAGGGGACATGCTGCGGGAGATATCAGATTCTAACAATAAGCCAATAAAGGAGCATCAATAAAGGAGCATAATGAACATCATATTTAAATCAACAAAACAGTGAAACGTTAACACGTGCACGACGTCACCCCATGCTTTTACTCTCATCCTCACCATATAAAAACAATAGAATGGCACGACATCACCCTTCGTGCACTATTCCTCACATATCGGCACGATATCACCCTTCGTGCATTAACTCTCAAATCATGACACGGCATCACCCTTCGTGCGTTATCACTCATAATATCGTGCACGACATCACCCTTCGTGCTTTACACTCTCTCACAATAACATGCACGACATCACCCTCCGTGATTTACACTCTTCCTTACACAAACAATGGAAAACAATATGTCCCGAAAAGGGAATCAACTATATCAACAATAACATCCCGGCAAGGGAATCAACAATATCAGCAAAACATCCCGGCAAAGGATTCAGCTATAACCAATCTCGCTTCAAAAATTTCCTTACCAAAATGAAACTTTAATTTGAGTCAATACTCAACAATAGTCAATTACCAAGAAACTTTCATAAGCTTGTTCAACATTACTAACCATCAATTGAGCATGATTGGTACATAATAGGTTCACAAAATCATGATATAAGACTCACGAGCATGCTTGACACTAATGTATAGATGCTCGTCACCACACATATATGTCGTACTCGATACAAGCACATAGCAAATAGACCATAACTCCTATTCCGTCAAGCTAAGGTTATGCCAGACACTTACCTCGATTCCACGAACAAGATTAAGCCTCTACTATCGCTTTACCTCTCGGTTTCACTTCCAATTCGCTTGCATCTAGTCACAATTTACTTAACGATATCAACAAATGCTAAATAAACCAATTCTAATGCATGAAATTTCTAATGATTTCCCCAAAAAGTCAAAAATTGACCCCGGGCCCGCTTGGTCAAAACCCGAAGTTCGAACCAAAACCCGATCACCCAATCACTCACGAACTCAAATATGTAATTAGTTTTGAAATCGGACATCAAATCAAGGTCAAATTTTGAAAATTTGAAAATCCTAACTTCTACCCAAAAACACCCAATTTCCCATGAAAACCTTGATTTTGAAATGAAATCATGTAAAAAGATGTTATAGATTGAAGAAAATAAGTTAGAAATTACTTACTAATCATTTAGAGAAGTTTGTGCCTTTGAAAAATCGCCTAAGGAGGTTTAGGGTTTAAGAATGTTCGAAAAATGAAGAAAATCCCCTCTGAAATCACATTTAGCAGGTGCAGTTAAGAGGGGTTCGCAATTGCAAACCCTTCAAAAGTCTGCTACCTTGGCATCTGCGAAGGATATGTCGCATTTGCGACTCCTGACTCTTTCACATTTGCGACCAAATTGTCGCATTTGCGAGAATGGCCTGCCCAGGCTTGGTTCGCAATTGCGACGCCTGGGTCGCATTTCCCAAGCATGATAACTTCGCATTTGCGAAGCCTGATCTCGCAATTGCGAGATCAAAGTCCTTTCACACAGCTGCAACATACCAACAATTTTCATACGTCCAAATTCACTCTGTAGCCTCCAAAACTCACGCAAGCCCTCGGGGCCCCAAACCAATCATGCATGCAAATCTAAAAATATCATATGGACTTGCTCGTGTGAGCAAATCATCAAAATAATATCAACAACTACGAATTAAACCTCAAATTCATAAAATCACTCAAGAACATTGAAATTTTTATTTTCTCAACTATAGGTCCGATTTATACCAAACCAATTCCGATTCTTGTCACACCTCCTTTTTCCTACACCCCCGTAAAAGGGTATAAGAGAGTTTTTTCAATTTAAAGTGACAATCAAAACGGGGTCATTTTATTAAAAATTTAGAGTCGCCACTTGGGATAATTTATGGTGTCCCAAGTCACCGATTCAAATCCCGAATCGAGGAAAAGATTGACTCTGTTTTTCAGTCCGAGAACACAGAAATCCGGGTAAGGAATTCTGTTAACCCGGAGAAAGGTGTTAGGCATCCCTGGATTCCGTGGTTCTGGCACGGTCGCTTAACTGCTATCATTGGCCTAATTATCTAATTTTAAAACACTTTTAAACCTATGTGCATTTTTAACTTTTTAACCGCTTTTATTCATTTTTAGGAAGATTTCAACGTTATACAAAACACGCCTTTGGATCACGCCACATGAAATGCACCCGCTATCTGCGACATATTTTATTTAACGTTATTAGGATTTGGATTTGGGTCACATGAAATGCACACCCGAGTTTAGGAAAGTAATTTTTAAAATAGTGCGCCTAAAGCAACTACGCATTTTAAATTTGTGAGGGCCATGAAAAATTCAACTAGATGGTGCTCCTCGATTTCTAAAAGATTAAAATTAATTAAGTGAGGGCCATGCGTTTGAGATTTTATTTGGGATGGCACGCCTCAAATTATTCCAAAGGGCTTTACTCGACTAAAACAAACTACGGATGATCATAAGTTATTTTTTCTTAAACTACTTCAATTTTTTCTTTTTAAATCTAGTAGATGAAATAATATATATTTCTACATATAACATCAGATCATTAAACCTGTCTAGGAGACAAAAGCTCAAATAAAACGTATAAACTTATCCTGAACATATTCATGGTCTAAGAAACTCTATTCAACACATAATTACAGAGATTCAATATTCACGAATCAAAAAATGCTAACCCAAGAACCCGTTTCGTGCTTCTGTACCCGTTGTCCAATTAACTCACAATTCAAACAATTTCAATGGACAAACTACCATGACAATCCATTAGAACTAACAACCAGTGCTTAACTCTACATTCACAAACCATGGTACTGAAGGCAAAATAAGGATCGAAGCTAGAGCCACTAATCTCTCACATGAATTTCGGAAATAGGAAACAAACTTCAACCATATCATTATAATTTCTAAAATCAATAGAAATAGAAGAACACGAAATCCTCTGAGATGTATTACTCAAATTCATAGCAGTGACAACTTGATACTAACAAGGGTACATTTAGAGCCAACAAATATAACTGAAAAGCATTTAAGATCTAGCAAGCAATTTCTCAAAAAATAATAATAGAAAAATAACTCAACAAAACATTGAACTAACAACATGCCGTGAATTTAATACTTCTCATTTCCAGTAACAAATACAAACAATTAGAGATTCAGGGATATGTACCTAACTGCAGAGAGACCCGTAGGAACAATGACCCAAATAAAGGTCCAAATTGATGAATGAAATTGGGCAGCAGAAACGGCCAAACAAGGAGACAACAGTAGCAAAGAACCAAGCAATGGCTTATAGAGCTTCAGCAATAATCAACAACAAACAAATCGAAGACAGCCTCCAATCCCAGCTAAAATCAGCTTTATAAATAACTGAACTTGTATAAAAGCAACAGAGATATCAGGCAACTCTTGAAATCTCTTTAATGATTTTGATTTTTTGATTCAGCCGCTGATCTTCTTGGATGGGTGGTCGTGGTGATGATTTTGGTCTATCTTCTCTTCTTTTAGAAATGAAGCGCAAGAAGCAGAAGGGAGGGCTCCGTGTTAGCCGTTTGTAATGGCAGGGGTCTAAAAAAATCATCTCCTCCCTCTCTTGTCTAGGTTTTAGGGATTTAAGGGAAGGGAAATGGGTAGGTCAAGGAAAGTTTTGGATCAGATCTGGGCTGGGTGAGAATTGACCCAATTTCATAAGACAAACTTTTTTTTTCAATTCTTTCTTTTATTTTCTAATTTTCCTTTTTTTTAAATTAAAATCCTACAACTTAAATTCTAGATTATCTAAAAATGTGAAATTAAACTAATTATCTAATCATAAAAATTATAAACATTACTTAATCCTAAATCAAAAGAGAAAAATCAATAAAATGAAAAAGTGTAAAAATGAAGCATTTTTTGTGATTTTCAATTTTTATAAAACAAGTAACTACCAATTAATCCTAAAAAATATAAAAATAAAGCCTAAATGCCATGCGTGATGTTTTTTTGGTATTTTTCATGATTTAAATAAAATAAATGTGCACAGACAAATGCAAGCAATTAACAAAAAATGCTACAAAAATTCACGAAATTGCAAACAATGGAAAAATTATTTTGTTTTGAATTTGTGGGAGTAATTCATATAGGGCAAAAATCACGTGCTCGCAGTTGCCCCTCTTTGCCTGGAAACATGAAGAGTTTTCATGTAAAGATAAAGTGAGCGGATACGAGTGATTTTTTCCCGTTTGAATACTCTATGGGAAGCGTTTTTGAAAGACTTGACTGCACCCTGTTTCCGAGGTTGCCTACATATCCTTGGCTAAAAAGAAATCAGGTCAGTGTAGTTCAGGAATGTTTGGTAGCTGAGACTACCATGAAGCTGTGACTTCACTGTTGTTGTTGTTGCTGCTACTGCTTACTGAACCCCTTATTATACCAAAAATAAAAAGAAGCTAGACTAGACTATAATCTATGCATTTACAAAATCCTATCTACATCTTCAAACTTGCTCTTGTGGTTCTTGTTGACTTGTTGACTTGTATTCTCCAGGTGGAACCCCTTGTTGCCGCCTTGAATTGTAATCCGAGATGTTTTCCCTTTCTCCAGGTGGACCCTGCTTGCTAAGACTTGAATGTATTCCCTTGTTCTCTAGGTGGGCTCCGAATTGCTAAACTTGAAAAATGTATTCCCTTGTTCTCCAGGTGGGCGCCTGATTACTGAACTTGAAAAATGTATTCCCTTGTTCTCCAAGTGGGCGCCTGATTGCTAAACTTGAAAAATGTATTCCCTTGTTCTCCAGGTGGCCGCCTGATTACAACAAAACAAACAAAACAAAAGAAATTTTCCTGCCCCAGTTTGATATTGGAAACATCTGTGAGTGTTAACAAAACTATAAATCACATGCGCTGCTGATGAAAGATGCAATGATGAGAGTAAAATTAATGACTCGACTAGGATGTGCGTCTTCTAAACGTGATTGAGCTTGCGGAAAACTATAAACTAAGCTTGACTAAAGTAAAAACTCACCCTATTCTCCACGTGGGGCCCCTTGATTTCAGGAAAACTAAACATTGATAATCTTCAGAAAACTTAAAAAATGACTCCCCATTTTTTTCAAATTCAGACTTCCCTTTTTTAAAAAAAAAATTATCATCCTAGGAGAAAATTCATCGTACTAGGTTTTCTATCTTAGGAGAAAGATTCATCAGACTAAGATTTTGATCCTAGAAGAAAATTCATTAGACTAGGTCTTTTTTTTTGGTATCTTAGGAGAAAGATTCATCAGACTAAGATTTTTNTAGGAGAAAATTCATCAAACTAGGTCTTTTTTTTTGGTATCTTAGGAGAAAGATTCATCAGATTAAGATTTTTATACTAGGAGAAAGTTTATCAGACTAGGTCACTTTTTTTTTGTATCTTAGGAGAAAGATTCATCAGACTAAGATTTTTATCTTAGGAGAAAGTCCATCAGACTAGGTCACTTTTTTTGGTATCTTAGGAGAAAGATTCATCAGACTAAGATTTCTATCCTATGAGAAAATTCATCAGACTGGGTCTCTTTTTTTTTGGTATCTTAGGAGAAAGATTCATTAGACTAAGATTTTAATCCTAGGAGAAAGTTCATTAGACTAGGTCTTCTATCTTAGGAGAAAAATTCATCAAACTAAGATTTTGATCCTAGGAGAAAGTTTATCAGACTAGATCCTCTATCTTAGGAGAAAAATTCGTCAGACTAAGATTTCGATCCTAAGAGAAAGTTCATCGGACTAGGTTCCCTTTTTTGTTATCTTAAGAGAAAGATTCATCAGACTAAGATTTTGATCCTAGGAGAAAATTCATCAGACTAGGTCTTTTTTTTTGGTATCTTAGGAGAAAGATTCATCAAACTAAGATTTTTATCCTATGAGGAAAAATATGCAGATCAATGGCAAGATTTTATGCACAATAGCAAGACAAATAAAGGCAAAGATTTGAGAAACTTCCCTTTGTCGGCTCCTCTCGTCTTTCCTTTTTCTTCTCTTTTTTTTGTTTTTTTTTTCTTTTTTTTTTCTCTTTTTGAATCACTTTCCTTGCATCGCTTTGTTCCTGTTTCATACAAAGGAAAATTTGTCAGTTTTGAAAATGGTGGTTGGTTGTGGCCTTGAGTCTTGGGCAGCTTGGCTTCTGCTCAATCAGCTTGAGTCGGCTTCAAGAGACTTTTGCTCTGCATCGACCCTAATTGTTTCACACCCGGTACCATTGCATTTCTGGCTTAATCAACATTATCCCAACTGGAGATCTTTTCTTAGATGACCTTTTCTGATATCTTGAATGACTTCCTGCTTTTGAGCAATTTGTCTGTCAGAGAGAATCACAAGTTATCTTTTCTTACGCCAAATAGGCTGACAAGAGTCTTTTGGGCGAGCATTTGCATGAATCCTCAAGGCACGTTGACAGTAACAACCGAGTGTACTGGCCAAATTTACTTTGTGCAACTGAAAAGCTGGTAGCAGATTTTGAAATCTTTTCTTGCTTGTTTTGACAAGGACTGACTCAAAGGGAAGGACACAATGCTATAAAGAAACAATATTAACAAGAAATGCCCCCTGTCGGAAGGACAGAAGCAAGAGTTTTTTTTTCAATAACTAGCCTTAATGGTCATGACATACATTTTGGACTCAACGGTTTGATCTATCAAACTAATCCAATCTTCCCTTTTTCCATTCTTATGAGCTTTGAAGTCGGGCTTGTTCGTGCCAATTCTTTGCATCAGCTTCGTGACTCACTTTCGACTAGTGGTGCCCCGAGGGGTTTTCATCAACAAGTCTCTCTCATTTATTCATCTCTGCTTACCGTCGTCTTACAGTGCTCGTGAGGGTTTTCACTAATAAGACTCTCTAATTTTTCTTTTCTTTTTCTTTCCCTTTTTGTGAGAAACTCGACGGGCACAGAATCTATAGAAGGAACCTCAGCACTAGAATTACGAACATATGCCAAATAAGCCAAACATCCTTTTTCAACCATACACCGAGCCTTTATTAAGAAACAACCCTACTGACAGAATGACTGAGAGTCCCTCTCCACTCCAATCGAGGAAAACCCCGCAAGGCTAAGGTCACAGTCTTGGTATGACAGTCCAATACAGCATAATAAGGGGATAACCAATCCATCCCCAGAATGACATTGAAGTCTACCATATCGAGAAGTAAGAGATCAACACGGGTCTCAAGACCCCCAATAATAACCACACACGAGCGATAGATTCGATCTACAACAATAGAATCACCCATCAGTGTAGACACATATATAGCTGCACTCAAAGAATCACGAGGCACAACCAGATAAGAGGCAAAATAATATGACACATAGGAATATGTAGACCCCGGATCAAATAGAATTGAGTCATCTCTACTACAAAGTGATACTGTACCTGTGATAACTGCATCAGAGGCCTCAACCTCAGGTCTGGCTGGGATATTATAACATCAGGGCTGGCCCCACCACTCTGAACTACATCTTGAGGACGGCCTCCTGCTGGCTGGCCTCCATCTCTAGCTGCCTGACCTCCACCTCTAACGACCTAACCTCCATTTCTAACACTTTGACCCCTACCTCAAGCTGGCTGCGGGCGATGGAACACTCGGTGCCTGAACCATGGCAGGGGAAACCTGATGCTGAGAACTGCTTGGTGCTCGAGGGGCAAAATCTAGAAATATGACTCGTATAGCCACAAATGTAACAAGCCATTGGCTGCTAAGACTACTGACCCTGACGGTTTGAGTAACCACCCTGAAAACTTTGGAGCGGTGGTGCACTGATGGGAGATGGTGGTGCACTGTAGGGAAACTGATCAGAATACTGCATATGAGAACCACGACCACCTGGAGCACCATGAGAAGCCTGAAGGGCTAAATGAAATGGCCTGGGAGAATGTCCCCTACCAAATGAATCCCTTCCTCCAGATGAGGCACCACTGAACCTGCCCGAATGACGAGGCCTCTTATTAGACCCCTTACCACTCCCTTATGATAGAACCATCTCAACTCTCCTGGCCATATTGGCCGCATCCTGAAAATAAATCTCGCTCCCTATCTCCATTCTGCAATCGGATACGATGAGCGAGTCCCTCAATGGACCTCCTCACCCTCTCTTTCGGTGGGAAGTATGATAAGAGCATGATAGGCCAAGGCAATGAATCTGGTCTCATACTGAGTGACGGTCATAGAACTTTGCTGGAGGCACTCAAACTGCCTCCAATAGCTCTCTCTCTAAGTGATAGGCAGAAACTTCTCCAGAAATAGCTGAGAGAACTGATCCCAAGTCAAAACCGGTGAACCAGCTGGTCTAGACAAACAAAAATCTCTCCACCAAGTCTTGGCAGAACCTGACGGTCGAAAAGTAGTGAAGGCGACCCCATTGGTCTCCACTATCCCTATATTCCGAAGAACCTCGTAACAGTTGTCCAAATAGTCTTGGGGATCCTCTGAAGATGTACCACCATAAGTAGTAGTGAAGAGCTTGGTAAACCTGTCCGACCTCCACAAAGCATCAATAGACATAGCTGTACCATCACCAGTCTGATCCATAACACCCGGCTAAACTACCCAAACTGGCTGAGCTGCCAAAGTCTGAAACTGGGGAGCCATCTGCTCTGAAGTGCGAGTAGCGGGAGTTTGTGCT